GATTTATATATATATATATATATATATATATATATAATTAAAATTAATTTTAAAAATTAAAGAAATTAAAGTACATATAAACCAAAAACTAATAATTTCATAATTTTTTTATATTTTTTAATAAATCATAGGGAATATATTAAAAGTTGAATAAATAAATACTCAACCGTAAAGGTTACATAGAGTAAATATATGTAAATCACCAACAAATTAAAAGGAGTTCCCTAATTTTTTTATACACTTTAAAGTAGTTAATTTATTCTAAAGGGATAGTGTAATTTTTTATTACACTTAGTGTAGGACAGTATTTAAGATAGTACGTAAAAAATATCGAATTTAGATTCTTTCATGCAATTTTCTCTTTCCAGTCTCTCTCATGTAACATTAATAACCATAAAATATATTTAATGGTTCAAATTTAATTTTATAATTAATGTAACTTTTTAAATGATTAAATTTAAGTTATTAGATATATCTAATGATTATTAATATTGCAAGAAAGATGGTGGAGAGAGAAAATTGTTGGAGAGGATCCAAATTTAAAAAACCTCGTGTTGTAAATTTATTTATGATCGTTGTAATCCGTGATATGTGTGAGTGCAGTTTTCAATTATGGGGCTGGTCACACGGTGGACGAAGTTAAAGAGAGCGATTACAAGAGCTGCAGCACGGGCAATTCACTGAGTACAGACAGCAGCGGTGCCACCACCATCGCCCTCAAGACTGCCGGCACTCATTACTTCATATGTGCAGTTCCTGGCCATTGCAAGGGTGGCATGAAGCTTGCTGTTAAGGTCAAGCCTAAAAAATCACCTCCACCTTCACCTTCTCCTTCTCCTTCTCCTTCTCCTTCTCCTTCTCCTCAAGATGTCACTGACACCAAACACACACACACACCCTCTCCTACAACTTCAACCTCCTCCTCCACCGCCACCACATCTTCACAGTCATCACATGCCTCCTCCTCATCTCGTTTTCCAGTTGTTGCTATGTTTCTTGCTTCTTCCATCTCCTCCTACTTTCTGTTACGTTTCATGTGAATTTGTGTGAGTCAGGACAGAGGCAGTGCTTGTGCTTCCCTACGTGCTTCCTTCTCTATTTACTCGCCTTTCTTCTTTTATTCAGATTTTGCTACCAGGCAAATTTATTATTTAAACTAATCTATCTTCTTTTTTTATGTTCATCATATTGTTTAATGTATGTACGGCTATATAATTTGCATTGCAATCCAAGCCCACGCCTTTCCTAGTTCCTAAGTAATTGTTCTGACTCATCAATCACAATCAGTCAACATGATTTTTTTTCTTTCTCAAACTTATGTAAGGAAGTAGTTACGATACCCTCAAAGATCGATGAGTTTCGATACATGTAAATTTATAAAAAAAATAAATTAATTTAATTATAAAATGAATAATTTAAATTATATTTATAAAATAAAAAATAAGATAAAATTATAGAGGTTAAAATTATAAGATTTCTATAATATTATAAAATATTAAAAAAAATTAATAAATAGTAAAAATAAAAAATTATTAAAATTACAATATAGAAATTCAAAATTTAAGATAAAAAGACAAAAAATATACTTAAAAAATTATTAAAATTAAAATATAGAAATTCAAAAATTTTAAGTAAAAAGATAAAAATATACTTAAAAAATTATTAAAATTAAACTATTTAAATATATAATAATATTGTTACAAATAAATTAGAATATATAAAATAAAAATAAAATGACTAAATAATTTAAAAATTGAAAGAATAAAATAT